GGGGGGGGCTAATTGAGTTTCTTCCGTCAACATAACGGAAAACAATATAAAAAAGCATTGTTTTTTTTTCTGCTGAAAGGGGGGCTGAAGCCCCCCTTTGCCCCCTGGATCCGCCCTTGATTCTAACTTTTATGTTATCGTTTTTGTAACTCTTTTTAACACTGTTTTGTTCCTTTTTTCTGCTACTACCAGACCAGAGAACGGAGGACTTTACTGCCACGGAGCACGCAAAAGATTCAAGTCTTGCAACTCAAAAGTAAGTAATGTTCTTCATTTTTACGCAATCTTGCCCGCTAACATTATGGAAGCGCGAACTTATTCAACTTGTTTAACTTATTATCTTGCTAGTGGCAGAATAGGGCAGTACCGGTAGACATGGGGGTGCCTGTGATACACTTCTTAGGAAGTTTTTTTTTGGTAGTGCAGTTTTCGTATGACTGTGAAAAATTCACGGCACGAACACGGTCGTGACACAGCAAAGGATACGCCAGACCAATCACATTGCACGAGAATTTACTCTCCATTCAATCAAAACCCGGAACACGGCATAAACACGGTGCAGACACGGTCACGCCAAGGTCATGGCACTTTTAGACCAATCATATTGCGCGTGAAAAAAATCAGCCAATTAAAATTCTAGAAAGTATCACGGTCACGGCACGTCACGCTTACGGCACTGCGCTTTTCACAGTCATACGAAAACTGATCTATTGCAGGTCAATATGCAAGGGGTTACTTTGCTCTACCTTAACAATTTGCCAAATATCTGAATTTCGTGGATTAAACCTTTCAGCACCTGATTGGAGAAACGTCGAGCTTTCTCACTATGTATACACCCTTACTAGGCTGACGCCTATTGACTGCGCGTTTACATTTGAGAAATCGGTTTTAACTTAATAACATATATTTTTCCGATGTTCGTTTTTCTAGGAATGTCCAGAAAATTCTCCTGATTTCCGTACCATTCAGTGTGCACAAGAAGGGCGCCGGCGAAAGGTTACTTGGTCACCAAAATACTCTGGAGGTAAGTAGATCATGATATTATGTAGAACAATAACAGATAAGCATAACCAAATTCCATTTTATGGGTACCATTTTTGCGTTACTTTACACATAAATATTAAGAAATTATTGGGCATTCAGCATTTGACACTAATATTGATTATGATTACTTTGCGGCGTGAAAAATACCAATGGGAAAAACAATTTTCGCTGCAATTTGCTCATTTCCTTCTAGCCATTTAGAATGTGACTTATAACCAAATTGTTTATCTATTTTTTTCAGTGAGGAAAGAGCAACAGTGCAGCTTGTTCTGTCGAGTCAGTGGTAGTGCTATCTACTTTAAACTAAAAAAGAAGGTCATTGATGGGACACCTTGTAACCAGTACTCCACGGACGTTTGTGTGGATGGACAATGTCAAGTAAGTTATAGCCGATATGACAACAGCTATTTCAAAAAGAAAAAAAAGATTGGTGAAGGTTTTGTTGCATGTTGCATGTTGCATGTTGCATGTTGCATGTTGCATCTTTCATGTTGCATGTTGCATCTTTCATCCCTGAGTTTGTGTTGTTAACGTTACAAGTGAATATGAAATTCTTTTCAGGCAGCAGGATGCGATCGAATTGTTGGCTCTAAAGCTCGGTTT